ATGAGCTGTGGACTGATTCCGTTCCGAGTAGAGACCCAGAGCCCTTTAAGGCTGCTCAAGACATCAAACTTATTCCCATAATTCATTTGTTTGTTGTTTGCTCTGGGCTTCTTTGAGAATTCTCAGGGAATTCTGAATCTCCATTCACCTTCCGAGCTGGACAAAAGGAGACACATGACCCTGAATGCAGGTAACAAGGGCGAGTATTCGGGTCAAGGCCCAAGCAGGTCTAATCAAATCAGCCCATTCCCTAAGTAAGGAAACAAATGAGATTGCAGAATAGGTCAAATAACTTGTGAAAATTGCTCTGTAAATTAGCAAATTGAAGGGCTAACTGTCTGCGGCACACTGTGCCTCAGACTTCAGATGTAGCCTCACTCCTACAGGGTGGGGAAGTACTGGCATGACCCTGATCCACACATTGTCTCCTGTGCCAGATGCCGGCGCAGCACCAGCCCGGCCCGCCCCCCCTCTCCCAGGAGCGCAGTGGGTGACATCTTGGAGACACCATTTCCCAGACTGTGTGATTGGCTGGTGAGTCACCTTTCCTGCATGGTCTCTGTGTCCAGGATGCCTTGCTTTCTTCCAGTGGAAACTTAGATGAGGTGACCCGAGGTCCCCTCACTCTGGATCATGAAACCTAGGGCCAGAGTGAGTGTGCCCCCGGTGTGCTGACTTCGCAGACTGTCCCGCCCTCCACCTGGAGGCCTCACTAGCTACCTTGCGTCCTCAGGCCCCCCTGCTCCTCTTCTTTCTCTTGCCAGGTTCTCTATCCCAGGCCAGCCCGGGGCTCAGGTTCCTGGGCAGGAATGCCCCAGCTAGCATATTCTCCCCCTTCCTTTATCAATCACAAAAGAAATTAAAACATTTTGTGAGTCCCCTGGAAATCTTATCTCTCTGCACCTCTGATTTTCCCACAGGGTGAGGCTCTGTCCCAAAAGCCTCAGAGGGCACAAGCCTCAGAGCTCTCACACTTTCTCTCTCCACCGATAGGTAAGAGTGGAGATGCTCTTAATTCACAGGGCAAGGGGCAGAGGGCCGAGTAGTAGTCCTCCTCAGAAAGCTTAGTCCTAAAAGGCTCAAAAGGCTTCTAAGGAACTTCTATGTTGTAGAATGTCCTCAAATACCAAATACTCACCAGAATACAAAAATATCCTGGATCTTAAAAAGTAAAATTCACAGTGTCTCACATTTCCAGTCAAAAGTTACCAGGCATGCAATGAAGTGGTAAAATAAGCCTCCTAATGGAAACAACTAGTCAATCAAAGAGCCCCAGAAGTGACACTAGCAACAGTAAGCAGACAAGGACACTTGAACAGTCGCTGTAAGTGTGCTAATGTATTCAGAAGGCTGCGGGAAAGACTGAGCATGTTAGTAGAAACATCAGAAAATGGAGCAAAGCCTCTAGCCGAACATCAAGAAATGAAGAATGTATCAAGAGATGAAGACCACAATGTCAAAGGTAAAATACCGGATGGTACTGATGGCACATTCAACAATGCAGAAGAAAAGATTGGCAAACTCAAAAATAGAAATTTGGAACTATACAAAACAAAACTTGGTGATTGACTGATTGATTGGTTACAGGGTCTTGCTACACAGCTCAGACTCCTCGTGATCCTCCAGATTTCAGCCTCTCCTGTGCTAGGATTACAGGCATGCACCACCACACCTGGTTTCAGTGGCCTGCATGGCACGCCCAGGGCAAGGCCAGCACAGCGTACAGTACCGGCGATCTAACCCGGGGGTCCTTGCACTTGCCAGGCAGGTGCTTGGACTGCTGAGCTATCTCCCCAGCTCAAAACTTGGTGATTTTAAAAGGCTGAAAAATGATTAGAGCACATATTGGACATTTAGTGGGGCTCTCCAAAGAAGGTGAGAGGGCTTTATCAAAAATGGAGATTTGGGCTGGGGAGATAGCTCAGTGGAATAAGTGCTTGCTTGGGAAGAGCAAGGTCCTGAGTTCAATCCCTGGCACACACACACACACACACACACACACACACACACACACACACACAAGATATTTAATGGCAGAAAGTTTCTAAGCTTGGTAAAAACTATAAACACACAAATTCAAGAAGCTCAGTGAAATCCAAGCTGAGGTCGGCCAAATAGCTCAGCAGATTGAAGCATCTGCTTAGGCAGACACATGCTGGGAGTTTGATCCCCAGCAAGCTCCAGGGGCATGCTGAGATGGCAATTGAGACTGGGCGTGGTGTTGTGTGCCTGTAATCCCAGCACTTGGGAAGCTGAACACAGGTGGATCACTACGAGTCCAATTTACCTAGTGAGATCCTATAGACCCTTACTAAAAGAAAAGAAAAGAAAAGAAAAGAAAAGAAAAGAAAGAAAGAAAGAAACCAAGCCCAGAAACCATGAAGAACAAGAAAGACATCAAGGCACATGGTGTTATATTCACTCCTGAGGACTTCTGTAATGCACTATCTAGGCTGGATGTTTACAATAATGGGAAGTTACTTTCCATAGTTCGAAGGTCAGAAGCCTGAGATCGGGCTGCCGCCAGGGCCACACTCTCTCTGAGGGCTCCAGTGGAAGGCTGCTTCCTTCCTCTTCACCAGTTCAGTGGGTGCCACAATCCTTTGTGTTCCTGGCTCTGAGTTCTACCTCCACCTGCATATGGCATTCTCTCCGTGTTTTCACATGACATGCTCCTCTCGGGGTGTGTGTGTGTGTGCATATATGTATGCACACAAACTTCTCTCACTGATAAGATCACCAGTCATCAGATTAGGACCCAGTCTAATCTATTATAATCCCATTTTTAGTGTGACTACATCTGCAAAGGCCTTATTTCTAAAGAAGTTCATGTCCAGTGGCACCAGAGGCAAGGACGTGGATGCATCGGCTAGTAGCAACAATTTTCCCAGTGTAATCATGTTGCTTAAAGCAAGTGATTAAAATAAAAGCAGTCAGGTGGGTTCAAAATACATGTGTCGTGTACAGAGGCACAGAGATGAGGATCGCAGCAGGCTGCTCACTGGACACTACGCAAACCGAAGCGACCACAGCGAAAAGAACAAGGGATCAAAACTGCTAAATTATCGAAAGGAAAGAATCATCAATTAAAATTTTGTACCCAGAAAATTCTGTCTGATAAACACTTGGAACAAAGACTTTCTTGAGTACACAAAATCAAAACATATCCATCACCAGCAAAACTTCACTACAGGAAACAAATCTTCAAAATAGAAGGAATGAGATGCTAAGGGAAATACGAATCAAAGAATAAAGAACACTAGAAATGTTAACTACAGGGGCCAACAAAAAGTAATTCTTCCTGTTATTTAACTTTCGGTATAAAATAATGAGCTCTTTAAGCAAAAATAAAGCTATGCTTCGGAGTTTATAACAAGTACAGAGTGACTGTATGACACCGGCACAATGATGAGGAAGGACGGAACACTACCTCCAGGTGCTTACTGTACACCGTGAGGCAGCGCGGATTGAAATAGATAAGGATAAGCGAAAGATCTTTCCTATAAGCCTCAACGCAACCACTAAGATAACACAACAAAGTGGTGTGGCTACGAAGCCAACAAAGGAAGCTGACTAGAAACATTCAGAACTTCATTATTTTAAAAGCAGGGAGAAAAACATTAAAGGGCAAAAAAAGAAACAAAGCAAAAGTGTGTTGGCTTTCCACAGCTGTGACAAAACACCAAACAATAACAATGCAAAGGAGGAGAGGTCCCTTCCAGCTGGCAGTCGCAGAGGCTTCAGCCCACGGTCAGGGGTCAGGGGCCCCGTGGCTTTCAGGGCTGTGAGGAGCTGCTCCTGTCCTTGCCACTAGCTGGCTCTGCTCAGACCACTGTTGCTCTAAGCCATTGGCCCGATGCCTTGTGACACCACATGGGCCTGCTTTTCCCTGGGAGAGCGCCCTTCCTCCACCCCAGCCTCCGTGGCCACCCCCCAGATTCTTTTCTCCCTGTCTGTCTGATCTCTGGATGCCAGGGGCCTTGGCCCTGGTGCCAGAACCCCTCCCTCCCCCAGCCTCCATTCCTTCCCAAAGTGGTCTCAACTGGTTCCAAGGCTCCGAGGTCATCTCTGCACTGGTCCTTTTCAGACTGTTTCCATGCGCCAGACCCACACCGCGCCCTTCTCCATGACTCCATCAGGATGCCTTGGAAGGCCGCAGCTTGCTGTGGGCAAGCTCACTTGCTCCTCCCTGCCCCAGACCTGCTCGCTCCTGCCGTCCATGCCACTGCTCAGGCTACAGACCCGTGCAGGCTCTCTCCAGTGCCTGTCCAGTCCCTAGAAGAAATCCTCCCGGCCTGGCTCTACCTAGCTGTCCGAGTTCTCCATCCAGGACTCTCCTCCTGCTGTCCTTTCTGCTTTCCAGTTCCCCCTGACCCAGGCCATTTTATACTTCCAGAACCTTCTATTTTCAAAGATTTTCTTTCAAGCAGCCAAAGCACACTGAAAGGGTATAGACAGTCATTGACACATCTGCTCCCAACATGCTGTCACCTGCAGGTCACTGAGAGCTTAAGTCTTTCTGTTCCCCACTCACCATTTGGAGAGGGCAGGGCTTTGCTGACCCACTAGCGGCAAAGACCTTAAACACAATTCCACAGTTCCCAGCCCCAGCTCCTGACCTTGCTCCACTCATCTTTGTATCATCCATCAGGACCATAAATCAGCTGCTTTCTTCATTTGTTTCCATGTTTATGGCTCATGCTCCAAGTCCTTGTCTTGAATGGGGACTTGTCTGTGGGTCATGGAATGAGGTGTCTGCTCTGTTTCTCAATGACCCTGATTTGGCAAGTACCCAGAAAACCACCATTACTGCCACAGTTGCCAGGAGATAGAGCTATGCATGTTTTCTACAGCTTTCAATCCTAATATTCCCATTTTAGGGGAAATGATCATGAGGGTTCTTTGCCCTCCTAACCTCTCTTAGAACTCCTAATTTACTTTGCTGCACTTATAAATGTTCTTCTGAATAAGGAAAAGACAGAGGAGACGAAGGAACTTTGTATCACTGAACTGTAGGTTTATTAGGATAGCATTTCTTGCAGCTATAAGCAAAGCATCGAATCCCTCAAGCTAACATACTTCTTGTGGCACAGAGCACTGAGAAGCGACAGGAAGTCCCTTACCCACCCCCACATTCCATGGGGCACAGTGGTCGAGGGCGGGTTGGTGCAGGCTGCCCCTGGGCACGCACCCTAAGGCACAGGAGGGCAGGTGGCACGGAGGTGGGGTGGGACACCGAGGAGAGCCCAAGTCCCAGCTCTCAGCCCAGCCCGCAGCTCCATGGCAGGTGCCACAGGAGGGCACAGGATTTCCCTCAATCTGTTTAGAGCCCAAATGATTCAGAAAATTTCACAGTATCATCCCCACACTAAATTATCAGAAAACAAATACATTTTATCAACTTGCCATTGTACTTCCTATAAATTAAACTTCAATAAAACTCAGATTTTTATCAATGCACTTCAAAAAGCCACTGATGTGACTTAGACATCAGCCCACTTGGGAAGAGCATCAGCCCATTTGGGAAGAGCACTTTTTTTGGAATTTGCAGGGGTTACCACATCAGCAGAAGTTACTTCTTAATACCCAGGGGACAAGAAACCCCTGTGCCCCCAAGGCCGCAGTAGCCATCCGGGTTCTTGCTTAGGTATTGCTGGTGGTAGTCTTCTGCATAGTAGAAAGTCTGGCCCTCCCGGATGTCGGTGGTGATGGGACCGAAGCCGTGCTTTAACAGACCCTGTGGAGAAAGAGACAGAGAGATCTCAGGACCTGGTGCTGGACACGAAGCTCCCAGAGGAGGAGAAGGAAGGAGGGCCGGCGTGGCAGGCCCGGGCTGGAGGCCCAAGCTGTACGCTGGCTCAGCCCTTCCCAGCGGGCGGCTGTGGGCAGGCCCTTTCCCCACTCTGCGGAGTCAGCTGTGATACGGGCCTTGACTCTGCAGTTCGTGCTCTCTCTGCCCTGCTGCCCAGCACGTGCTGGGGCCCTGGGCACCCTGAAGCTCCCCCGGGAGACGACAGGCAAGAGTGGCATCAGGCTGCCCACCAGGAAGGACAGGCTCCCTGCCAGGACCCCAGCAGGGACAGGGATGCCCACTCCCAGGCTCCAGAGGGGAGCAGGGCCTCTGCTCAGACATCCAGGGAGCAGGGTCTTGTGGGCTCTGTGCTCTGAGCTCCGGGCCAGCGGGGATGGGGAGCCAGATGCGGGGAGGACGTGGTCTGAGGGCCTGTGTCAGCCCACCCCACCCTCTGTGACCCAGTTAGGTCCTGGTGGCATCTGTGTGGATGTCAGCACAAGCCAGGGGAGGCGAGCAGAGTTCTTTGGGGCAGGAGATGGATTAGGAAGTAGAAGCTGCTCCCCCTGGAGGTCAGCAGCTTCCTCTGCCTCAGGACGGCCGCTGCACTCTGGTCCCGGCAGGGTGGGGCAACGCAGTTCTGGGAGTCACGAGCAGGGACCCAATCCGGGGACTGACTCCACTGGGCACAGAGCTATTGACGGCCCATCTGTGGTGAGGACCTCCGACCTGCCAGGCTGAGGGCATCCTGTGCCAACTCTGAGCTCAGCTCACTGTGTCCAGCGCCTCCTGAGAACTTAAGCCTTTCCCCCAAGTCTGCTTAGAAAGAGGCAGATTCACAATTGCACAGCCATGCAGCCCAGAATGGCAAGGGACGGCGTCCTCACCAAGGTGGGTGGGTGGGCCAGGCGGGGGAAGCAGCCAGCTTTCTAGCAGGGGTTAGAATGAGAATGAAGAGCCATCCTAATGTCAGTTTGACAATTTCTTCTTGTAAACTAGCAATTATTGAGGCTCTACCATATGTCACATTCCATGCGAAGACTTCACACATGTTAATTTTAGCCTCACAGCAGCCCTAGGAAGGAAGTCCTATTATTATCACTCATGTTTTTAAGTGTGTGTCAGATATTGTGCCTTGCTCCCTGATGTCCTCAGCTGGCCCTGGGACTACAGCAGTGGAAGGCCTTGGGAGAACCACAGTTCCCAGGTGGAGCTGCTGGCCGTGGCCCACTTCAGGAGAGAGGCCCTCAACATAGTGAGGTGCAGGGAGGGGATGTGACCTGCGGGGTGCCAGGGTGGGGTGGCCACAGGTGTCTGCAGAGCGCTCTCCCTGGCCACCTCCTGGGGTCCGCTGTCCCTGGGTGGGGGGCAGTTCATCATCAGACAATAAGGTTCTGATGATTTCTCTAACCTCTCAGTAGCCTGTAGTAGTGGACTTGCATTCTACCAGCCCTCAGAATGATTCTGGGGGCACCAAACTCCCTTAAGTGGCCCTGCTCAGAAGACCCTGAGAGTTTTCTGTTCCCATGACCCAGCCAAGGGAACCCAGCACCTGGCAGCAGAGCTGTGTTCAGGAAACAGAACCTCGGCAGGGATGAGGACTGGAGATTTCATGGTGGGCCCAGAGAGGCCCAGTGAGGAGGGACCTCCTGGGGGCAGGGTGGGACGGTGCCCACGTGTGTGCGGTGGGGACACGGGGCAATGCAAGCCCTGCGGGTACTGTGGGGGCTGGGTGGCTGAGAATGCAGTGCTGTGGAATGTGGCATGAGGCCTATGGGTCTGAAGGCCGCCCAGACAGCCGAGGGCTTGTAGGAAAGAAAAGTGACCAGGTTCAGAGAACCAGAGAGCTCCACAACGATGGAAAAGAATTGCTCCCCTCCAGAATGTGTCCAAATCCTAAGCCAGGACTGGAGACAGAGGACAAAGGGTTTGGCAGACAGGGGGGTGCTTGCTTGCCTGCAGAGCCCGCTGGCCTGGGTGGCAAGCTGGCCCCAAAACCTGCCCCTTGGCTGCAAGAATGTCTGTGAGCCTGGAGGGCAGTTGGGTTCCCGGTCCCCATCACTCTGGGGCAGGATCCCCTTGACTGCCCCACATGTCCGCCCAGTCTCTTCCAGGGCTATCATTCCTCCTGAGGGTGGGCAGCCCCATGGCTCCTCCTCACTGCCCGCCTGACTCCCTTCCTTCACAAATGATGGTCCCTGTATGAATGCAGCAGGGCATCCTGCTCCCCAAATTCTGCAGAACCTTCTGTGAATCAGGCTGAGGGAAGCAGATCCCAGGGTTTGGGCAGGACCCCAGGCAACAGTGGGGAGGCCCGCCGATAGGGCCCCAGGCAGCAGTGGAATCAGGTAGTACCACCTTCAGCCACCAGATGGCAGTCACTCCACTCTTCAAAACCTCTGGGCTGGGAGGACCCTGACAGCACCCAGGCTGCCCAGAGAATACGCCACTGCCCGGGGTCCTACAGAGCCACTTCCTGAGTGGAGACTCATTCTTGCAGGAAGAGTGCCCTATGCTGCACCCCCCCCCACTGCACCCTACCTGGGATGCCCGATCCTGCACCAACAACGGTGTCTGGGCCACCCCTGTCCTGTGCCCTGTTGTCCCACCTCCCACCCTGCTGACTCCAAAAAGATTAGCTCAAGTTAAGTTACATGCCGGTGACGGTGTGTGTGTGTGTGTGTGTGTGTGTGTGTGTGTGTGTG